GGGCTTCCCTTGTGGCTCAGCTGGTAAAGAATCCGCCTGCAATGCGGGAGACCTGGGTTTGATCCCTGGGTTGGGAAGATCCCCTGGAGAAGGGAAAGGCTACCCACTCCAGTATTCTGTTCTAGAGAACTCCATGGACTTGTATAGCCCATGCAGTCGCAAAGAGTCGGACATGACTGAGCGACTTTCACTTCACTTCACAGAGACTGATTGCTTAATTATGGGTCACCAAATTACCACGGAATTTGAGCTGCCCATTATGAACTGAGTATCATCTGGTCTATCAGGCCATAAAGCTGAATGTGCAGAGCAACATCCTACCATCAAATGGAGTGGATTATACATGATAGTGAGACAGGCTGGGACTTGGGACCCTTTGCTACAGTGCTGCAATGTTTGCACTTGGACATACATCTCTTCAAGCCACAAAACACAAAGAAACCGTAGGGGACTAAAAATAACTGTGTGCACATTAGGATAAATTCTGGACCACAAGATACAAAGAGACCAAAAAACCTGATTGCCACACTTTTGGAGAGCCTGGAGCAAAAACATGGTGTTGGAAGAAAAATCACACTCCTGCATACAACACCACCTAAAGGGTAGGCAAACCACCTAAGCCCTTGACTCCTGAACACGCCTCTACTCTTATTCTATATAAGGAACAAGCTTGCCCCCCTCACGGGGAGCAAGGGAATCTGTTTTTTGTTCTCACTTCCCTCTGCTGCAGCAGGAGCCCCAGTAAAGCCTTGCCTGACTTTCTTGTCTGGCCTCTAGTCAATTTCTACTGATTGAGGAAGGCCAAGAACCCTGGTCAGTAACAACAGGGCTGAACAGGTGTTGAAGCCACAGTGAGTTACATAAAGTGGGTTGACTGCCCATAGTCCCCAGTCCTCCTCCTCTGCCTTCTCCCTCCATCATGTGAGGATACAGTGAGAAGGTGGCTGCCTGTAAACCAGGAAGATGGCCCTCACCAGATACTGAATCTACTTGCACCTTGATCCTGGACTTCTCAGCCTCCAGGACTGTGGGGAAAAAAAATTCATTTAAGTCATCCATGCATGGTCTCTGTTATGACAGCCCAAACTAAGACAGAAATAGTAGTTTGCCAATGCTTGATCTAGTGTTCAGACCAGCACTGTCCAATAGAACTTTCTGTAATGATAGAAATGTTTTATATTTGCATGATACCATACAGTTGCCACTAGCCACATGTAGCTATTGAGCACTTGATGTGTGACTAGTACAACTAAGGAACCAAAATTTTAATCTATCCCTCCTTTTCATTCCTGGAGTCGTTTATCATTTCTCTAGGGATTAATAGAGTTTTCTAATTAGTTTCCGGGTCTCTAGTTTCACTTTCCTCCAAAGCATCCTTGCTAGAGGGATTTTTCTAAAATTATATAGGATGCTAGCACTTCCCCAAAGCAACACTTCCTGGAAACCTTAGAAAGTTTCAAGTTCTGTTAGCATGACACATAAATCTTTTCCATAGGAAATCACAAAGAGGTAAAACACTTTCCTCTGTTTCATCAGATAAGTGATGGTAAGTTTCTTGAGAGTAGTCTTGCATCTTACTTTGTCTCCTCTAACATTTCACACAGCAGCTTTCTGAATGATGCAGTGAAAAAAACTTGACTTTAGCCATGGAAAGCTTAAGTGAGTACCCCAATTCTGGAACCCCATTCTAGCAGTCACCATAGTCATTTAATCACCTTGACCTCACTATATTTCTGTGCTAAATGAAAATGATAACTAGTATTGTTCTGAAGATCAAATGAGTTTGTGGAAATCCTCTGCCTTCAGTAAAAGGTTAGACAAATACTGCTGCTGCTGCTAAGTCGCTTCAGTCGTGTCCAACTCTGTGCGACCCCAGAGATGGCAGCCCACCAGGCTCCCCTGTCCCTGGGATTCTCCAGGTAAGAACACTGGAGTGGGTCACCATTTCCTTCTCCAATGTGTGAAAGTGAAAAGTGAAAGTGAAGTCGCTCAGTCTGTCCGACTCTTAGGGACCCCATGGACTGCAGTCTACCAGGCTCCTCTGTCCATGGGCTTTTCTAGGCAAGAGTACTGGAGTGGGGTGCCATTGCCTTCTCCCAGATGTTGTTACAATAAATGATGGGTTTGAAAAGTTTCTAAAAAGTAGTACTGGGCATTCTCTGGTGGTCCAGTAGTTAAGACTTGGTCCTTTCACTTCTGGGGCCCAGGTTTGATCCCTGGTTGGAGAACTAAGATCCTGCAAGCCACTGGGTGTGGCTAAAAAAAAAAAAAAAAAAGCGGTACTGGCCTGACTTTATCCAATATGTATTACGACTTTAAGGCCAATCTGCATGAGATGACAATATAGATACAGGCCTTGGGTGTTCAAAGAAAGAGGGATGAAAAGGAACAATTTTGGCACATTTACTCCAAATATTCCTTAGGATTATGCATTTTTCATGTTTAGGTTTAAACCTAAACCTTTAAAAAATTTTTTTTTTAATTTTATGTATTTATTTGGCTGCACTAGGTCTTAGTTGTGGCCTGGGGTATCTTTACTTGTGGCATGCGAACTTAGTTGCTGTATGTGGGATCTAGTTCCCAGACCAGGGATCAAACCTGGGCTGCCTGCATTATGAGTGCAGACTCTTAGTCATTAGACCACCAGGGAAGTCCTTAAGACTACTTTCTTCAGTTTTGTTTTGATGAATGAAAATTTCAGTGATACCAATAGACACTCAACTTGGTTTTTGACCACACAGCATGCAGTATCTTAATTCTGCTATGATGAGGGATCAGTTTTGCACCCCTTCTACTGGAAGTTCTCAGTCTTAACCACTGGAATGCCAGGGAAGTCCCAACAGTTGATTCTTGGGAATTATATGGCAATGGCATCATCTGAGCAAATCAGAAAAGAAAGACGAAGTAGTAATATCTTATTTTTAAGCATCTACAGGGAATTTTCAAAGGGGATTTTGTCAGTGAGTTCTCCTAGGAGTAGGAGGAAGGGTTTTGCCTTCAGATAAGAAAATAAGGTAAAGAAACAATGTTATCATACAGGGAGATGTGGCAAAGGGACAATTTAGCTGACATCAGAAGTGGTCTCTTCCCTCCCCTAGGGACATCCTGATTACAGGATTTGTAAGATTAAGCATATTTTCACTTTGCGTTGAATTTATATCAGTAATTCATTTCTCAGGTGGGTTTTTTTTTTGTCATTGCAGTGCAGCATGTAGAACCCTAGTTCCACCACCACGGATGAAACCTTGGCCCCTTGCATTGGAAGGACCAAGTCTTAACCTTTGGACCACCAGCAAAGTTCCTCATTTCTCAGTTTTGAAATGTGACTCCACCATCTTAAAAAGTGCAAAAAGAAGGCATTATTTGTGTTCAAAGTGCTTCATTTGGTGAAGGGCACTGAAGATTTATTATTCCTTGAATTTAAATTTCCAAAGCGCTTAATGGATCTATGTCAGAACACTTAGATTGTGTGACTCTCTCTGTAAAGTCCAGATTAAGACTTGTTGGAAGACAGGGACTTGGTTCAGTCATCTTCACACGTTTGTCTCATCCTGCTTCAGATTAGTTGCCACGTGAGTAGAATACAGTAAATTACATTAGCAAACTGGTGGCTATTCCCACTTGTTCCCACTGCGGTATGCAAACTTTTAATCTCCACTAAGCGGTCAGTAAATTCATGTCAAAGAAATGGATGATATTCATAGGGTAATATGATAATACCTTAACTGTCCACCGCACGGGCATCCAGAACTCTTATCTTTGAGCCCAAGAGAGGGGCTGCTGGTTCTATCCCCAAAGTGTCATGCGCCCCAGCTACCACAGCATTGCCTTCCACTCTGAGACCTCAGCATCCAATCCTCGAGTCATTCTCTTCCTTCTCCCTCTTTGCAGTTTGCACAAGCTTTGGTATATTTTAGATATTCATAAAATTTGTCATTTAACAGTCTAATCAGAATTTTTCATATCTCTGTTGGCGACCCCTGCCCAGTAGGAAGAAGACCCTAGAGAAAGCGAGGGGGTGCACGTGAGACACTGATACCTAAATTGGCAAAACCCGGTCACTTCCCCGAGCCAGCAAGCCTTCTAGTGGGAGGAGGAATTGGAAGACGAAGGCCCCACGTGACCGCGGGGGCCCGAGGCTGAGCCGACCCCGCCCCTCCTCCCTTTTCTGCCGCCGCTGCCGCGGCCGCCGCCGCCGCCGCCTCCGGGGGGCGCATGCGCAGCCCATGTTAGTGATGGAGGAGAGAAGATGGCGGAAGCGGAGTGAGTGACTTGCTGGTGACTGATGTCGTAACTGGGGGGCGAGAGGGGGCAGCGACAAGTCCCCCCAAGGGGAAAGCTCAGGGCTCTTTCGCGAGCAGTGCGGGGAAAGGGGGACGCGAGAGCTTCCTTATCGTGGAGGAGCCTGCTTGGCCCTTGTGGGGGGACGGAGCCGAACTGAAGGGTCCAGTTACCTCCAGGCGGGAGCGCCCCTTCCGCCGTCTGGTCCCGGATCTGCGGGGCCCTGTGCGCAGGATCCCTTCTCGGCCCCCTACCGCCGGGATCTTCCGGAAGATGAGCCCGGGTGGGCCCCTGAGAGGTTGTCGTCCCTTCAAGTGGGCCCCGCGGGCGGCTTTGGGACGGCCGCCCGCACCGGGGGCCAGCGGAGGCTGGGTAAGGCTGGGCGGGCACTACCAGGCCTCCTTCACGCTCGCCTCCTTCCCGCCCCGGCGCCACCCCACTGCGCCTCAGTGGGAGAGCCCGAGACGTGGGGCTGCTCATTCCCTCCCCGCAGGCTCGGAGGAGGGGTCTCAGCGGCTGGGGCGATGGCGCGTTTGGCGAGGCTGAGAACACCCTGGTAGGAAAGATCTTTCTTTCCCTCGGGTCCCTGGCAGCAGTGTCGTTGCCGCCCTAGAGGGCCACATTCTTGTGTGGCGGTGTGATGGTATGCTTAGTTAGCGACTCAAACTTAAGTGTTTCCTGGGTAGGCCGCTTGTGCAGCGGAACTGCCGTTTGTGTTTTGCAGGCAATATACAAGGCTAGTCGGTGGAGTTAGCAAAATTGTTCTTTTGTGCCAGGTCTCCAGATGCAGTTTAATGATTTGGCCAGTTCTACCCACCGATGTTTAGACTTGTGTCTAGATTTTGGATTCTCTGTGACCATATTTAGTTACTGAACCGCTTACTGCAGAGTTTGAGGAGATGGTTGAGCAGAACAGCACTGTACAAGGACCAGAATTAAAGCTGGCTTTTTGCATATCATTGATGCGTGGTTCAGAAGTGTTATGACAGGTAGCAGTTTGGTAAAAAGTTTATCTACCACCGTATCTGTATGATGTTGAATTGTTAACATATGCTGCTGTGATTTGATGACTGGAAAGGAGTTTGTAAAACTAACAAACCGCTCCCCAACCCCCCCACCCCCGCCAATAAAAACCCCAGAGAAGTCTAAAGGTGTGTGAGTCATTTATTAATCAAAAAGATTAGTAAGAGTTGGCTCCCCACTTTTTTTCCTGAATCACATTTCCTCCTATAAATCGGGCTTTTAAAAACATTTGATTCCTCACAGGGCAATCATACTCTTATGATTATACATATAATTACTGTTTACATATGTGATATAAAAAACAAAATTTGTAGGTAAAAGGACACTATTTGGGAATAGTGCACGCATACACAGTTAGTGCCAAATTCCTTTGTCTTTTCCTGAAGTAGAAAGTGTTACCTTGTCAGTACTGCTCCTGTGAGGTGGGTCGTATTATGTTTCTCAGAAGAAAAGATAAGAAAGGCAGAGAAAACCAGTATATTCTTAAGCTTGCTTTTTGTGGCGCATTTCTATCCCTACAATAAATGTTATAGTTCTAGTTTCTAACAACATTAAGGCACTCAGAATTGACTTAATATGTTGTTTGAATTTATTAAAATAAAAATACTATATTTGTACCATAACAGTGAAATGAGTTTGTAATGTTTGAGGGAAGATAATCAGAATGGTATAAAACTGCACTTTATGCATAAGGAAAGTGACATAGTTCTGCTATTTTCAAAATTTGGAGTTGTATTTTGTGAAAAAGATTTTTGTTAGCAAGTGGGGAAATTGTTTTCAGCTGCTTCTCTTATTTACCCAGAGTAATCTGCTTATGAGCATTACTCAGAGTTATTAGATGTGGTAAGAACAGAATTGTGGTGTAATTAGAGGGAAAGCAGTGTGAGTTAATAAATTATTTTTTAACTTTCCTAGAGAACGTATTTTTAAATAAAGTATATATGGTAACCCAAAATTGAGTTAATTGCCTAAGCTAAATGAAGCTAGCACAAGTCCACAGGCATCCTTTTTTAATGTCTACATAAGAATGATTTTAATTTGTAATTAGTATGGTCAAAAGAATATAAAGAAGTATTTTAATACTCTGATATTGCTTAAGTTTTAATTTTCCTAGGTAGTGTTCTGTCATCACCTGTTTTGGTTTCAAGACATTCATCTTCCTTCAACAATAAAAAGGTAAACTTTAGGCCAGGCTTTATCTGAGTTCTGTATCCGCAGTCCTCTGGATTCAAATTTAGTAGATATGAATTGTTAATTATGCTTTATCTTTGTATTTTTCCCTTTCACGTGTTTATGGTGACTGTATGCTATCTGTATTTTATGAGGTTCTTCTTAGAAAATTTAGACTGTTGTGATTATTTCTTGGAATAATTATTCTGTAAACAGTGTAACGCTTTTGCCAATAGAAATCCTTTGTGCTGTCTGCCAGATTTAAGGACCACGGTACAGCTATGGATAGTGAACCAAACCCTGGGACGTCTTCAGTGTCGACGACAACCAGTAGCACCACCACCACCACCATCACCACTTCCTCCTCTCGAATGCAGCAGCCACAGATTTCTGTCTATAGTGGCTCAGACCGACATGCTGTGCAGGTATTTCAGTCACCGGGATGGGTAGGCTAAGACTTAGGAGCCATTACTTTTTGTGTAAGCCAGGTAAATGTATTGTTTGATATCCTCAAATGAGTTACATGCTAACCCTCTAAATGAGTACAGTTAGAATTGTTAACGTTTGGAACTACCAACAGAGTTATATAATAATCATTCAGTGTCGGCCTATTGGGAGGGCCTACATTTGTCAGCATGTAGCTTCACAAACAATGTCAGGAAAATTATAATTGGAAGGTCCCTGGGTGCCGCTGCGAGTGGGGAAACTCAACCAAGAGCCCCAACATGAAGAATGGCTTTAGGTTTTTCTGGATTATTGTGTATTTGAATCCAAAATTTGGACTTAGGATCTATTCAGCTCCGTAGACAAGAGGTTTGTTTTAAACCCAAGAACCCTAAGCAAGAGGATCCATTAGGAGCTATCGGGGCAGAGGAGAAAGGGAATATTTGATTAGGAAAAGTCTTAGGCTGTTCACTTGGTTGAGAAAGTAAAGTTTAGCTGGTTAACTTTTGTAGGGAAAGAGCAAATTAGCAAAGATGGTGGTGGTCAGGCTCTCTCGCCCCATGGTCTCTTGCGGTCGTCCCACGTTTTGTAAATAGTTACGTAACAGCTGAGATCACTTACAGCACTGCACGTGTGTGTCACGACGTACCCCCTTGACCACAGGCCACTTGTTCTGTAAACCTATATAAGCTCCACCTGAAAAGCCCTTGTTGGCAGCATTATGGCCATGTCCTCTGGGTCAACCACAAGAGAATACAGCGTGTCTACTGGTATGGCTTCTATGCCAGTCAGGAGAGAAGAAATGTGTCTGCAGTTCTTTTGGCTCCTTGCATCTTCCAGCTTCCCCGCTCACTCCTTGCCTACCCTGGCTTCAGCAAACAGTGAGATACAGCAAGGCAGCCTTTATAGTAATGGAGGTTGAGGCAATATGGTATTGCATGAAAAGAGCATGGGCATTGCAGGCTGATGCAGTTTTTGTTGGAATTCCATTTTCTTTACTGTTAGTAGCTATGTAGCCTTGAGTGAGAGGCATAATCTCCTTGAGCCTCAGGAAACTATAAGATGAGAATGAGACCACCTGCTTAATTAGTTATGAGGATTAGACAAAGGATCTAGAATTTTGTGGGGCACATTATATACTCAGTAAATGATAATAGCTAATACATACTGAATAATTATGTGCCAAGTATTTGATAAATGCTTTACATGGATTATCTCCATTCAACAGATGGAAAAATTGATGTTTTAAATTGGCTAAGTAACTTTCCTAAACTCACCTACCTGGTTGGTACTCTTGACTTTAGAGTTGTACCCTTAAACACTGAGTTTTTTTCCCGTTACACCTTTTCTTCTTTCTCAAATCTGCATAATTGCACTCCACCCTGAAAAAAACAGACCTGGTTTAGTCATCTCTCTGTTCCATTTTTCTAGAGTGCAGATCCCAGTATACTGACTGTCTAGCTGTTATATGGCTTAGTATTCTGAAATTACTGTGGAATAGAATCAGGATTGTTGGAATCGTCTGTCAGTTCAGTAGAAATTCAGACTGAAACAGAGTGTTTTTAATATTTTTCACCTTTCTCTGAGGCAAGGGAAACAGGGAAGAGTAACTGGATCCTTGAACATAAAGATAATATGATATTTTAAATACCATTTTGTTGCCCACCTATTTTCTAAGTTGGATGTGTTAATAAAAAAAAGTTACTTGAGATTTGAAGTTGAAGATAGTATCTCACGAATAGTACTAACTCTAATTCTTACAAGATCATAGAATTGCTTCCCTTAAAATGTAGTCAAATCAATATTTATCAAACTACCTAAGTAGTTTAATACCTTCCAGCTTTTCTTTTTTTTTCCACCCCTGTGAATCCTTTTCATCTTCCTTGCTCCAGAGGAACAAAATAAGAGCAATGTGCTGTATCTTTAACTTGTATTTAAAGAGTCTCTCATCCATGAGTATGGCACTGAATGGTAATGAAAAATTGTGCTGACAGTAGAAAAAATAAGTATATTCAAATAGGTTATTCATTTTTAATTTGTTTGATTTTAGAGTTTTGTTATGGAATTAGAGCAACATATACAGATTACCTAACCAAAAAGATATATTGTGATTCTAAAGCACTTAATGCTGGTCTGTACTCCCCTGCAACTGGGGGTCAAAAGCCTATATTTTGTGACAGGAATCTGCAGCAGGTGTAGCAGTCTGTTGGCGAATTGCGACGTGAATGCAGGAAGGTAAAAAATGCAAGGAAACATGCTTTCTTGGAATTTGAATAAAGACATTCATAGCTTTGTGATAAAGGTATCCTGACTCAGAAGCTCAAACTATAGGATTATGTCTCTTTTTCTCCATTAGCTCTTTGAAAACTCTGGTTTGATATTGGGATTTAGGGTGCTGTTTGAGAGTACCCATGGGCATGACATGACTTTGGAATGTGATTGCAGAGGACTGGTGTAGTCCAGTGTACCATTTGCACAGATAAAGGATTTTTCTCTTTTATTAGAACTCTTGACTGTTTCACATTTATTAATTTATAAAGTTTGGGTTCAGAGTTTTCATTTTACTAATAAATAGTCACAGTAATGAACACTTATAAGGATTTTTTTTGTGAGTATTTTTTTTTTTTGTTTTGACACTTTTGCCTGTGATTTTTAAAACATGTGTGTTTTTTTTTTGTTTTTTTCTAAAAAAAAAAATGGCTTTATAATTTTATGTGGTTATTACTATAATGAAGCTAAGTTTTTTCAGACATTTAGAAAAAAAAACAAATGAGAATCAGGTAAAAATCACTTCTAGCTACCTATCAGTAGTCTTTTAATGTTTTCTTGAATATTCTTTAAAATATTTTAATATAAATGGTATCTTACTCTGTACACTATTAAGTGAACTTTTTCCACCTAATGATATATTTGGAAACTATTTTGTTGATAGTTGTTATCTGCTCTGTTCAGTATAGTAGCTATGAGTTGCATGTGGCTATTTTATATTTAAATTAAAATTCAGTAAAATTAAAAACTTAGTTCCTTGGTTGCACTAGTCTGCTTGTAAGTGCTTAGTAGATACTTAGGGTTAGTGGCTGCTGTATTGGACAGCACTGATCTGTTATACATTACTGTTTGTAATACATGCAGGGTATACATATTCTTTTTATACCCTAATTGGGAATTCTAACAAGTTGTATCCAAAATGGGTATTCCAGTTTATATTGTTACTAACAGTGTATGAGCGTATCTGTTTCTCCAGTAGTAGTAGTAGTCTTTTAAATGTTTATCCATCGGAAGGTTGAAAAAGGTTGTTTTAATTTGTAAGTTTTGACTACTAGTGAGATTGAAGATCTTTCCAAATGCTTACTTAGCCCTTTTTCCTTTTGTGAATTGCCTCTACTGGGTAACTTTAATCTGTACAGATCGGTGAATCCTAGTGATGTATAACTAGGAGAGAACTGTTAATAAATGTGAGGACATTGAATATTAAAGGAGTGAAATTTTAAATTTCTAATACTTTATGGTTACTTTTACTTTTTTAGTTTCTAATACAGCTTTTCTAATACTCTCTAGTTAAGACTCTGGTGTGACGTTGGTTCCCTTGACTCATCGCAGGTAATTCAGCAGGCGCTGCATCGCCCTCCCAGCTCCGCGGCGCAGTATCTGCAGCAGATGTACGCCGCGCAGCAGCAGCACCTGATGCTGCACACGGCGGCCCTCCAGCAGCAGCACCTAAGCAGCTCCCAGCTTCAGAGCCTTGCTGCCGTTCAGGTGAGGCTAAGACGAATTAAGCACTTACAAGGCCAGTGTTGACATTGCCTGCAGGCAGTTACTGAAAATAAATACACTGGGTATTGCAGTTTTCAGATGTCCTGTGTTTTTTTTTTTTCTTAAGAAAATATAATAGGCTGCAAAATAAAAGTTAGTTTAAAAAAATGAATGTTGAATGTGTTACTCTGTTGCTGAGTTTTGTCCCTTTGCTTTTTATCTACCTTGCAGAAATGCTGTACCAGTCTTGTGTGTATAAAATTCTAGGGATGACAGTGAATAGTTAAGGTTACATAAATCTTATTTACATTTTAATCAAAAAAGGTTTTTTTAAAATTACATAAGTAATTACACTCATTAAAAACAACCAGTATAAAATCATTCCTAAGAGGTAAAGTATAGAGGTGTTCCTTTTGCACACCCACTGCTATTTTCCACTCTTCAGAGGTGGCCACTATTTAATATGCATCCCTCCAGAAATGTTCTGTATAAAAACATGTATGTGCACTTTTCTAAAATCCAGTCATGTGATTCTTATTGCTATCAGGATGATTTTATGATTAAATGTTTATGTTTTTAAACAGATCTTCATTATTATTGCTTTGTTTATTTAAATAAAACTCTAATGCAAGATTTAAATCTCGTCACCAGAGTAGGGTCTCAAGTTGACTAAACCTGAAAAAGGTTTATTTCTGTTAAACACATCCCAGCTGTTACTTCTTCTCAGTAGTGTAATTTTAAATAACATCTTGTTCATGATAGTTAGGAAACTGAAACCCAGTGCCATTTGATATAGCTCCAATTTATTTTTCATAATATTGGATTGGTAATTTCACTTCAAAGAAGAGATCTATAGAGGAAAACTGACAATGGGTACAGCTCTTAAAATAAGATGAGCCTTTGGGTCTTCTGTTTTCACCATGCAGTTATTTTTTTTTTTTTTCTTAATTTGTTTGACATGTGGACTGTAAAATAGATGTTTTGAATTTTATTGTGATTTTTGTGGTATCCTGGTATAAGAAAGTTTTAATCTTCAGACTTTTTATAGACATAAAGATCTTATTATTTTAGGCAAGCTTGTCCAGTGGAAGACCACCTACATCCCCCACAGGGAGTGTCACACAACAGTCAAGTATGTCTCAGACATCTGTAAGTGCTTTAATTTTTTTCCTGGTTTTAAAATTTTAGATTATTGCTTTCCACAACTGTTAAAATCTACAAAACTGTTACTGTTCATCTGTTGAGTACTGTTTAAGTAACAAGTGGCTAGAAACAGGAATGCTAAATTTCGAGAATTTGGAACTAATGTCAAACTTCTGAAAATCTGAGTCATAAAAATATTTTTTTATTATTTCTTATGCATGTTTTCCCCTTGATTGTGTTCAGATCTTTTGTGATTGGGAATGGTTGCAGTTTTCAGTGTGCGTTGGAAGCGTGGAATATATAATGCAGGGAAGTTCAGTCGTGCATTTACTGTGACAAGTACTAGAGAATGTCATGTCCTTGGTAGACATCTAAGTGTTTCTAGCTTTTTTTGTGCAGGTCACATTTTAGAAATTTTACTTCCCAGCTTATGCTTACTTGAGTTACCTGGGTCAAATTTGCAAGTGTAAATTTACCGTTCAAGATAGTGTAATTTATTTTGAGACGAGAATAAAAGGTAATTTACTACATTGCACATATTTACTGGGAAATTGTGTAAAGTATTCCAGTTAAAAAGAAATTTACAGGTGTGGTAATACTTGTTTACCCTTTTATTTTGATGTAATTTCAAATTGCAAGAATAATAAAAATTTCTGTATACTCTTTACTCAGATTCACCAATTGTTAGCATTTTGGCTCACTGTTTTATCATTCATTCTTTCTGTCTACATATATACAGTTACCTTTTTCTGAGCCATTTGTGGATAAGTTGAGACATGTTCCTTTACTCCTAAATACTTTGATATGTACTTCCTAGGAGCAAAGTCATTCTTTTATGAAGCCACATGAAACAGGTCAAATTCAGGAAATTTAACACTGATAACCTGTTGTTCATATTCATGTTTCATCAGTTCTCCCAGATTTCTCAGCCTCATCCCTATAGACCTTATGGGCCAGATAATTCTTTCTTACGGGTTATTATTTCTTATGCATGTTTTCCCCTTGATTGTGTTCAGATCTTTTGTGATTGGGAATGGTTGCAGTTTTCAGTGTGCGTTGGAAGCGTGGAATATATAATGCAGGGAAGTTCAGTCGTGCATTTACTGTGACAAGTACTAGAGAATGTCATGTCCTTGGTAGACATCTAAGTGTTTCTAGCTTTTTCTGTGCAGGTCACATTTTAGAAATTTTACTTCCCAGCTTATGCTTACTTGAGTTACCTGGGTCAAATTTACAAGTGTAAATTTACCGTTCAAGATAGTGTAATTTATTTTGAGACGAGAATAAAAGGTGATTTACTACATTGCACATATTTACTGGGAAATTGTGCAAAGTATTCCAGTTAAAAAGAAATTTACAGGTGTGGTAATACTTGTTTACCCTTTTATTTTGATGTAATTTCAAATTGCAAGAATAATAAAAATTTCTGTATACTCTTTACTCAGATTCACCAATTGTTAGCATTTTGGCTCACTGTTTTATCATTCATTCTTTCTGTCTACATATATACAGTTACCTTTTTCTGAGCCATTTGTGGATAAGTTGAGACATGTTCCTTTACTCCTAAATACTTTGATATGTACTTCCTAGGAGCAAAGTCATTCTTTCATGAAGCCACATGAAACAGGTCAAATTCAGGAAATTTAACACTGATAACCTGTTGTTCATATTCATGTTTCATCAGTTCTCCCAGATTTCTCAGCCTCATCCCTATAGACCTTATGGGCCAGATAATTCTTTCTTACGGGGGGCTGTCCTGTGCTGTGTGGGGTGTTTAGCAGCATCCCTAGCTTGGATAGCAGTAGCTCTGCCCTTCTCCTTTCCCCAGTGTGACAGCCAGAAATGTCTGCAGGCACTGCCAGATGTTTCCTGAGGGGCCAAATTGCCCCTTGTTGAGAACCATGAAGTTAAACTAATAATGTCCTTCGTAGCTTTTTTTTCTCTGATCCAGGATGGTAATACTTTGATAAAATAGACTCCAATGGAATATAGTTTATAGATTGCTGAGGAATTAAAGTTGAACTTGTGCTGTATTTCTTCAGCTAAGGGTGTGGTCTTTACTAAGTACATGTTTGATGAGCACATAGTTATTTGTTGGCTTTTGATCTTTTTAATTAAAAAATTGTTTTAGCATGGAAGTATCTTATGAATAAGAATTACTTATGAATACAATTACTTAAAAAAGAAATTACTTGTGACTTGAAAATGTTAGACTGAAGAAAATGAAAAACCTAAGTAATGTATTTAGCCCTAAGCAGTAATGCGATATGGTTATTGATGTCGGATCATATCTTTAATTAATATATTGGTAGTTATGGAACATACTGGTAAACTAGTTAAAGTAATTATAGGTAAATTCTTTATGAAGTACTGGAATAGCACCAGGGTGTATACATATATACACACACACACAAGCACAGATATGTGTTCTGAGGGCTTCCCTGGTAGCGCAGCTTGTACAGACTTCACCGGTAATGCAGGAGACTGCGGTTTGATTCCTGGGTCAGGAAGATTTGCTGGAGAAGGGAGAGTCTGCCCACTCCAGCTCTCCAGTATTCTTGGGTTTCCCTGGTGGCTCAGCTGGTAAAGAATCCACCTGCAATGCGGAGACCTGGGTTCAATTCCTTAGTTGGGAGGATCCCCTGGAGGAGGGCATGGCAACCCACTCCATTATTGTTGCCTGGAGAAACCCCATGGATGGAGGAGCCTGGCCAGCTACAGTCCATGGGGTCACAAGAAGTCGGACACAACTGAGCGACTAAGCATAGCACGGCATGTGTTCTGGATTTTTTTCCCTTCACATGATAAAAAGGTGTCCTTTAAAACTGTTTTTGTTCCATTATGATTTTGTGTATGTGACTTTTAGAATCATAGTTCCAGTGATTGTGCTTATTTTTTATGAAATTGTTACTACTACTTGTCATAAATCATTGCCAGAATCTCTGGATAACTGGTGAGAGGAAAAGAAGTAGAGACAATAGATGCCTAGAAAAAACAAGAGAATAATACATTGCATTTGTTTTGTGTTCAGTCCCAGCCGAGCAGTAGCTCAAGTGAGTTGACCGGCAGTCCAAATTATACCCAGGGTAGCTTAGTAATTTTTAAGAGGAGCAGAGCATAATAGCAAAAATCCCTAGATAGTGATAATAATGAATTGTCTATTGGCAGTCTGCTAGTTTTCAGAATTTTGGTTGTTTTGAGATAGGTGCCTGATAACAGTGAATACCAAGGGGGAAGGGTCAATCCTTTCGTAGATAAAAGGGCTACAAGGTAGGTTGTCAAGTCACCTGCCAAATCGGTTGGGGTTTAGAGTACGAGTGAAATGCCAGAGGGGAAATGGAATATTATATTTTGAAAAATGAGGTAAAAAGTCCAGTCTTCCACATGGGGAAACTGTGTATGTGGAGAAGACCATTGTTAATTGATTGTATAGTGGGTGCCAGCATCCTTTTCTTTCCTGTAATTAGAACAGAAAGGCTAATTCTATACTCTTAACCAGTAGTGAGAGTGGTTTGTATGTGTGTGATTGGCTCTAAAATTAGTTGGGACTGAGTCTTTAGGTTGGATGTCTTTGTACTTTTTTAAATGTAGTGTAATTAAGAACTAATGTGAAAAAAGCATCAACGATGTTAAACAATAGCGTGGTTGAAAATATATTTGCACCATGTATGTCACACAGCTTATATTTGTGAAATACCAAGGGCTGTATTATATTAGTAAGATAAATAATGTGAATTCACAAAAGACCTGAACTGGTAATTTTCAAAAGATAGACTACTTTTGGCTTTTAAGCACATGAAAATATGTTTACTGGTAATAAAGAAGTGAATGTAAAAACATCAATGTTTTATTTTCACTTGTCAGATTAGAAAACGGGGGAAAAATTGAGACAATAACTGTTGACAAGTATGGTACACTCGTACACTATTGGTGGGAATGTAATTGGTAAAACTGTTCTAGAAGGTTATTTGGCAGTATGTATGAAAATTTGAACCACATGCCCTTTCATATAGCAGTCTAATTTTTAGTGAAATGATGTCACTGACTAAATATGAGAGAGAATTATGACAGATAATTACACAAATATGCATGGTTTGTAATGGTAGAAAATTATAAACAATACAAATGTTCTTTAATTGAGGATTAGTTAAATGATAGTTAATTCAAACACTGCGGCTGCTTTAGAATGCTATATGTGTGTATATAGAGACAGATTTTCATTAGTTATTAAGTGAAAACAAGAACATATAGTATTAGCTCATTTAGCTTAGTTACTAGGTTATTCTGTATTTTAGTTCTAAAACTTTGTTCTTTTTCTTTTGCTGAGAGTTTATTTTTCATTTGTTTCAAGTTGGGTCATACTTGGTTGTTCAAAGCATTTTTATGACTGCTGCTTTAAAATCTTCATCAGATAATTAAAATATTTTCCATCTTGGTGTTGGCATCTATTACCTTTTTCATTCAGCTTGAGGTCTTTCTGGTTTTTGGTACAATGAGTGATTTTTGATTGAAACCTGGACATATTGAGTATTATGAGATTGTGGATCTTACTTCAGTTTTCTGTTTTGGCTGGCTTCCGAAGGGGAGCATGTGCCACCTCCGCCCTGCCATTTGAGGGTGGAAGTAAATCCAGGTTCCCTGTTTGGTTTTCACTGATATCTGAGGGATGCTCCCTGTAATTGCTGAGTCAGTGTGTGTTCTGGCTCCTCACTAGGCCTCTACTGATGCTTCTCTGGCTAGGAGGGAAAGGAGTGCCCAGTCATTGCTCCCTGTGTGGTCCCACTGATGCTTCAGGGTTGGGGTGGGTTGTTATTTGTGGTCTGTTATTGCTTGGCAGATGTGAAGGTCTTGGCTCTCTACGTGGCCTTCTCTGACACTCACCCATTGGATGGGGTTGAGGGTGCCTCATTACAGCCTGGTGAGGGGAGAGGCCTAGGTCTTTGCTAGTGTGGATGTGGCCACAGTGTTTCTGTGTTGTTTGGCTGGAGTAGAGCAATTATTGTCTA